TGCGAACTTCTCCTCGTCCTCGCTGGTCACCAAGCACTTTGCTGTGGCATGCAATCTGTATGAGAGCCGTCAATCCCCTTTGAGCCGCAAGGAGGTGCTCTACCTCGTCGACCAGTTTCGCAACGTGCTGCTGAAGGCAGTGGCCGAGGAGAAGATCTGGCCAGAGTCCTGTGGTCAACAGAGGCTGCTGTGTATCTTTGAGCTGGGTTTGCAGCTCTGCAGGACGCTCTGTAAGGCTGGCCACGCCACAGAAGCCAGCAAGAGTCTGCTCCACATCCAGAGCCTGGTAAAGAGAGATCCGTCCGGCAACTGTTCAGTGTGGTTCCTGGCTGCCCTTAACCTATGCGTCGTGGCTGCTTCCCTGGCGCAAGTGAAGAGCGTCTCCCAGGCACCCAAAGCCACCCAGAAAAATGGCAGCCTGATTGCCAGCGCGGTGCAGGCGCTGGGTTCGCTGCCTGAGGGCGACTGCTGGGAGCACAAGGCAGTGATCGACAGCTGCCATTATCTGATCTCCGTGGTGGATGATTGCAAGGGCAACGAGTCCTGGCTCGGAATTGAGGAGTTACTGGGCTTCTCGGCATTCTTTGAGGCCTATTTGCCAGTGCTCTGCAGACAAACCGACAAGGTAAGTTCATCCTACATGAATGGTACTGTGTAAACAGAAAGTTGTGAACCCCAGTGTGATTTGGTCCTGCAGTTTAGTACTTGTACTATTGTCCGTTATCATCTCTTAAACCTGTTTGTCCTCCCAAGACTAAAATCCTGCGTATTCCCTCCCTTGCCCTCTTCAAGACCCTTCTCTTCGACTGCGCCTTTGGTCACCCTCACCATCCTCCACACCTCCTGATCCCAACTTCCAGCTTGGGTCCAAATCCCTGACGGTCAGCGGCTTGGGACGTCCACTTGACGTGAAAGACGTTGTGCAAATGTCATTTATTGTTGTTGTTCTTGTTCCCCAATTGATGGTTGAGAGAAAAGGATTTCCGAGGTGTTTATAGGGCCTTTTTGGAGGTGGGGATTGGTTTGACTACTGAGGCCGAGCCGACTGTGTGACTGAATGCTGTATGACCTGTATTGCAGCCGGAAACGACCTTGTCACAGCGGAGCTGGGGGCTGAAGCAGTTGTATAGGAACCTTCAGATCTACATCAGCAAAGTCCACGACTTGTTGCTAGGCTCTCAGGTAAGCGACGAGAATTGCTGGATGTTAAGCTTTCCGGAGACTCCCGACTCTACTCTCTCCTGTATCTGAGGAGTGGGCTTCTGACATCTGCCTCCTCATAGATTTTTCTGTTTCCTCCCTCTCTGGCAGGGGACAGGGTGTCTTGGAGCAGAGCGGTTGCTCCCCTCATGTAAACGTACGGTGGAGAAGATGAAGGATGTGGAGGGGCTGCTCTCTGCTGAGGGACAGAGCAAGTATGTTGGAATTGCAGGTAAGAGAGAAATGCTCTGCTCAGCAAGATCACTCTTGCCCAGGGCTGTTCGACTTGTAGGTTTGTGTGACGTATTTGTCATAGGAAATAATATCTCGGTATAGATACAATATACAGTTTGGGATACGATGTGGGCATTGCAATTCCCAGGACAGTGGAAGGCGAACTGGATGGACCTTAGTCTTCTTTTGCCTAGCAACTTCTTATGTTCTTACATGCTTCCTGCTTTCTCTCCTGCAGCACTGTGCGACTACAACCTGGCTTATGGATTCTACAGCCACAAGCTCTACGCAGAGGCGGTCGAGATTGCGTTAACATTGTACCGACAGCTGCGGTCAGCCTGCTCCTCGGCACAGAAGATCCTGCCCCAGGACAGGGTAAGAGCCTCTGTGTACTTTTAAGTTCTATATGAAGCTATAGGACCACTTGCCCTGATGCCAACCTGCGCCTCAAGCTTCCCGAGATTAGGTAAGAAGCATGCGACCCTCCAGGGAGAGAGAGTGCGCGCATTCCATTCCGACAATCTATCTCTGGCAGTTTCCATGTGTATATGTGATGCATGGAATTCTCGTTTGCTTTGGGAAACGGTGATGGGTTTCTGCATGTGTCAGATACCCGGATGACCCCAAAAAAACTTTTGTGATCAAATTGCAACTAAAAGTCCTGGGCTGTGTGGCTGCTGTTCTCCTCGTTTCGATTCACCTCTTTTGACCCTCTCATCCTCTTCCCCCCCACACCCCACCACACCCCCAGGTGCCGATGTTCTTTAAGCTGTTTGTGGAGTGCTGCCGGAAGGCGGGGGACCTGGAGCGAGCAATGGAGGCCGTCACCACGTGGCTGATGCTGGAGGATCAGCGGCCTGACCAGATTGTGGAGCCCGTGGCCCTGTGGGTCAGTGTCAAAGTGGACGCTGTGAAGAGTGGCAATGAGGGGCTGTACCTGAGGTGAGGCTGGTAGTATGTCAGGCTCCACCACTGTGAAGCGCACAGGGATGCTACCCTGCGTGAAGGGCCCGACAGTAACGTTTTACTTTCCATCTCCCCTTCCATCCCCGGTGTGGCTTCCATTAGGACCCTGAAGGATGCTTTTGAGCCCTGGGACTTGGAGCCCGCCGTCCTGATGAGCCTCTTGACGGAGGAGCTGAGGGTGTACAAGACCCTGCGGATGGACACTGCACAGGAGAGGTTCAATGTATCTGTGACTTGATGAAGATCTCGGAGGACACCAAGGGGATGGAGCACCATCGGGCCGTGCAGCTGATTGAGTTGGCTCAGGTCCTGTGTTACCGGGACTTTAAGCAGAACGCTACATGGTAAGGGACTCGTTGGCGTGACGCGTGACTCAATCCGCTTTGCTTACTTTGATAGTTTAGTATAACGTCTGAGCTGTCAGCCGTGCTCTCGCCTCTGGGTGTGGGTTCGAGCCCCACGCCAAGACCCGAGCTCTTAAAGGTGTCTGATTTCCCCAGCGCTGCTTTGTCGGAGGTTGGGTTGCTGTGGGTTGGTTTAGGTGGTGAGGAGGCCTGGGCCCATACGATGGCCAGCCTTTTGACTGCTGAGTGTCTGATTCCCTATTTGAGAAACATCCGTGAGCCCCGTAAGCAATATTTTTGTGTTTCTTTTCCAGAAACATAACAACATTTACAGGTTATGGAGGGAGCGGGTGGGCTGGATGAAATGGGGGGGTGGGGGGATTGTAGATGAAATCGGCCTTTAAGCCAGATGTGGCCCGTGGGCTGCCAGTTGGCCCACCCTGGCCTGGGGTATTTATTGACAGCTGAACCTCTGCCTGTAGCACGGCTCTGGAGTGTGTGGAGGAGGCGCTGAGTTTGCTGGATTCGCTCCCGGACACCGAGGACACCCGAGACCAGGTGCAAGACGACAAGGCTCATGCTCTGCTCTGGCTTTACATCTGTGACCTGGAGGCCAAGATTCAGAAGGTGAGAGACCTGCTACCGGTCGTGTTCTACCCCCACCCTCCCTACCCTCCACTCCCTCCTGTTCCCAACCCCCAGCTCGGGTCCAAACCACTGACTGTCCAGCGCTTTGGGACATCCTCCCATTGTGAAAGGTGCTGTGTAAATGTAATTTGTTGTTGTTAACACCGCTCAGCAGTACAGTCTCTCACACACACGCACAGAGCTGTTAAATGTGTACAATACAGTCCTCACACTTGACAGAAATTCAATGTAAAGTTTTGAGATGCTAACAGAGGCGTGGGAAAAGAATAATACAATTTTTTTTTAGGACAACGAAGACAACTTACATTTGTATAGCACCTTTCATGTCGGGAGAATGTTCCTGCGCATACATTAATAATAATGATACTTGCATTTGATATAGCACCTTATCGTATCTTCGAGGTGTCTCAAAGCACTTCACAGAATATACTGTAAAGTGAATTGACTATATTTTGTGGCTGAAACTCAGCAGGCAAATGCACACAGCGTCCCCACAAGCAGTCATGGATTGAGTGACCAATTTTACTATTGTGAATGTGAACACACTTGGTGTTTCAGAACATTGAAAGGGAATGGCAAGTGAAGAAGATGATGTCCGATGCACCTGCTCTGAGGGACACAGAGACCAATGATCTGAACTACGAGGACGAGAGGCAAGACGCCCTGTCTTCGAGCAACAGCATCAACTTCAACCTGAAAGCTGAGTCCGGTGAGTGCCCGCCTGTCTCCTCTCACCTTATGTCGTACTTTACTGCTGACATTTATTGTCCGTCCCTGCTTGTCCGGAGAAAGTGGTGGATCTTCTCTTTAAGCCTGTGAAGTCCTTGTTTGCCACTACTTGGATTGGTTTCTCCTGGTGTACAGGCAAAACATGAGACTAAATGTGTGGGTTTACCCTGCCGTGTTGGTAACTCCATTGCTGTCGCTTATGATAATACCAATAATAATCCTTGCATTTGACATAATGCCTTATCACATGGTCGAGGCTTCATAGGATATACTGTGAAGTGGTGACTGTATTTGGGGGGGGGGGTCTTCACAGCAGCCGTTGAGATGTTTCAGGATAATTAATGCTATGTCATGGTAACCATTGTGTGTTCTCGCTTACAGCGCAGTCCAAGCCTCTGGATGATGCCCTGTCCCTGTGGAAGAGCGTTCTCTCGCACACTCCCGTCCGGACTCTTCACAGCACCGAGCACACTGTCGGTGCACTTCACATCATGGCTGCTCTCTACAGGCTGATGGACAAGGTCCGTTCTCTGGGCAGGGAACTCCGCGGTTGCAGATCTGTCCCTGGAACTGAGGGTGGGGGGAATGTGTTTTATGTCCATCGTTGTCCCTTTAAATTGGGGACTAGTGGGTTGAATGGCCTGCTTCTGTGCTGCAACCTTCCATGACTAAGGTTTCCCTCTGTTCCCTCTTGCAGCCCCTGCAGGCAATCGAAAGCTACATTCTGATCCTGCGGGTGCTCTCCGTGGAGTCTGACTGGCTGGGTATGATGCACGTGCTGTGTCACCTTACCAAGGTGCTGCTGTTGCTGGGCTGTATATCCCAGGCCCGGGTGAGTCCTGCCACCTTCTCTCCTTCTGCTGGGAATGCATTTCGTAATGAAGGGTTGTAAACTACTCTGTTTTTCTTTACACACAGTTGTTCCTGGATAAAGCGGATTCGTGCCTGATATCGGTGGACTCCAACAGAAGCGACTACTTGTTGCTGAGGATGACCTGCCTGGCCCTGCGTAGCCAGCTCCTGTGTGCCACACAGCAGGTAAATATACAGGCCTCTTTCGCCCAAAGAGGGAGACCTGCCTCTAATCACCAGACCAATGCTCATTGTGCTCTAACCAATACGCTCTAGGCTTGGAAGAACCAGGTAATAATAATAATTTAGTCACTCATTCCACAACTGTTTGTGCGCAATTGGCTGCACCATTTCGCCCACAAAAATATGTGGTCAATTCACTTTACAGTATATTCTGTGAAGCGCTTTGAGGTGTCTCGAAGAAGTGATGAGGCACAATATCAAATGCAAGTATTATTATTACTAACTTTGGATCTAAGGTTCCCAAAGCTTTCCACACTGTTGTAGACTAATCCAGACCAAATTCATTGCTATTAAACATCTCTGTTATTGTAGCAAGCGACTACCAGGATGGTAGAAGGCAAACTGGATGGACCTGGTTTTTTTTCATGCAGCAGTTCCTATGTTCCTATTCCAGCAACTAAATACAGATCTCTTCCCCTCTCTACTATCAAAGTGCTCAACAACGACAAATTACATTTACACAGCACCTTCCACATCGGGAGGATGTCCCAAGGCACTGGACAGTCAAGAAATTGCACCCAATTTGGAGGGTTGAGATCAGGGGCAGGGAGGGCTGACTGAATGAGTGGTTGAAGAAGGTCTTGAGATGAGCCTTGAAAGAGGGAAGGGAGGGGGTGAGGCGAAGATCACTCTTACTTACTGTCTGACCAGTCTCCTGTCGCTGTTTGATTCTAGGTTCCCGAGGGTCTGGCTCTTCTGCTTGAGGTTCTGCAATGCCCCTCACTCCAAAAATCTTCCAAGGTCTGGTACCTGCTGAAAGCCAATGTCCTGCAGCTTGTGGCCTCATACATGAGCCTACCTCGTGGCATCCTGCCAGCCCAGCTCAGGCAGAAGCTATACAGCCATGGTGGGTAATGGAGCCCAGGGGTGGGGGTGGGAGAGGGAGGGTCTGTAGGCCAGGTTCTGACCTCAGCGTGTTTGTTGGCAGGCTGGAGGTCCCCTGAGGCCGCGCTGACCAACAGTCACAAGCTGCTGTGTGGGGTGATGGTGCTGCTGCACTCCGGGCTGCTGTCCTTCAGGAAGAGCGACACTGAACCGGCTGTGTTCGTGGAGAAAGGTTTGTACTTGCGGTGTGTGGTGAGTTCCCATAACCGAGGAGGCGTATCCACGTCAGCGCTGAGGGACCGCTGGGGAGGCTCTTGGCAGACTGGCCGGCCTTTGGCTAACGTGTTAAACCTGAGCTCCCATCAAGCAGATGCTGAAGATCTTGCTGATCATTACTATTTGAGGGATGTTTGTGCTGAATAGATGGGAAATGGCATTAAGAGATCTGCCGCGATCAATCTCATGCGGCTGTCGTGTGGACAACCAGGGGCAGTAGCGTCCAATACACAGCAATAAGATCAATCAGTCTGTTACTCGAGTCCTTGGTCGTGGCTGTGTCATGGCGCCAACAACAACTTGCATTTATATAGTGCACTTCACACGGGATCTCTGAAAGGGTAGTGGAAGCCGATTCAATAACTTCTTTTAAGAGAGAAGTAGATGGGTGTTTGGGGAGGACAGGGTCGCAGGGCTATGGAGAGAAAGCGGGCCGGTGGGATTGAGTTGGATTGCTCTTTTAGGAGCCAGCGCAGACACGATGGGCCAAATAGCCTCTTTCTGTGCTGTATGATTCCACAGTGTCATCAGTCAAACGGCACCTCCAACAAACACTGCTTGTGCCTTCTCTGACTATACAGTCGATTCACTTTACAGTGTATTCTGTGAAGCGCTTTGAGATGGCTCGAAGATGTGATAACGAGCTGCATTAAGTATATAATATCAAGGATGATTACTATTATTACCTGCTGACTGATCCTCGTTTCTTGCTGTTCAGGGGAGAGTTTGCTGCAGAAGTGGCTGGTGCTCGACGACCTGCAGACCTGCTCCAAGAGGCTGGTGCAGCTTCTGGGAAACATGGGCAGCGTGCAGGAAGCCAAGATGTTCTGCCTCGAGGGCCTCAAACTCTCCTCCAAACTGCACTGCGTCCGCAGGTAAGCTGTTGACCCCCACCTCCGCAGGACAGAGCGTTCCCAGTGTCCAGGCCGGGATTCTGTCCCTGGTTAACTAACTAACTAACCCCGTGTCCCATTTTTTCCAGGTGTGTGGACTTTCTAGTCAGCAAAGCCGAGCTGGAGTTGCAGAAGAGCGAGGCTGAGTCCTGTGACTTGGACCTGGAGCAGGCACTGTTCCTCCTGGAGTCCTGCATCGGTTAGTGAAAATCCAGTGTGGAGGGGGCAGCGATCTGTAAAACTCCTTCAGATTTGGCCAGCTGGGGTAGGGGGGTGGTGAGAGATATCGAGATAAGTTGTTACACTTTCAAGACTTACTTCCTCTTTGAGGGACTGCGCTTTTGGTCATCTTTTCCTTGCCCTTTTCTCCCGCCCACGCCGGGCCCCCAGCTCAACCAGCTTTGTCAAGCGCTTTGAGACAATAGTAATAATAGTCCTTGCGTTTGATATCGCGCCTATTGTGTAGTTGAGACGTCTCAAAGCGCTTCACGGGAATGTGCTGCAAAGTAGATCTACTGTGTGTTTTGCGAGTGGACTAATGTCCTGACTCGAGAGGTGCTGTGTGTAAACATGCCTCGTATTTTTGTCACAGATTTCAGCTGCAGCGATAAAGTGAAGAGCCGAGGAAAAATCCAGCCAAAGAAACAGCGAGAAGCCAAGAGGGGCCGCAAGGTGTCCGAGGAGGGTGGGAAGGCGGAGGACCAGGACTTCCTGAGAGTCCAGCCGCTCTCGTACGTGAAGACGGTTAGTGGCTGCAGCCAGGCGGCCCTGACCGCCTCTCCCATCCTCAAGTCCAAGCTGACACAGCAGCCTCCGTCCTTCATGACCCACGGCCCGAGCTGCCCCTGCCTGCTCTGCTGTGACGTGATGCTGTCGGCGGCCGGGGCCCGCTGGGTGTTGGTGTTCTGCGAGCTGGTGGCGGGCAGAGGAAGGAGCCGGGAGAGTCGGTGCCTCCTGGAGAAGCTGAGGGAGAGGTGCAAGCGCCAGAGGCTGCAGTTATCACAGAGTGTCCAGCATCTGATAACGGAGTCCGACGTGGAAGCCAAGGTCCGTGACTCCAGCCCGGCCACAGTCGCTGTTCTGGATGGACCGATAGCCCGGGCCCACTTGCAGCTGTCCTCACTCAGCCTGGGATCCCATCTGCACGCTCACACCTGGAAAATCCTGGAAGAAGGCTTGGAATTCCTTACCCTCGAGCTTCCGGACACCTGGGACCTGGAGCCAGTGCGAGCCGGGCTGCTCTTGCACAAGGCGCTGTCGCTGGTCTACTCGCTCGCCTCAGAGCGCCATTGCGAGTTGCCGGCGGTTTTCCAAGCCGCCTGGGTGCGGGGGCCGCGAGGTGGGGGCAACCGCAAGACCACCACTGGCTCCGTGCTGAGTAAAACCAGGGACAGGTTCCGGAGCGCAGGCCGGCCTCGGTTGGGGAGCGAGAGAATAGTGACTAAAGCAACCGTTTCCAGTAAAGCGAAGGGACGGACCGGGAAAGCGAGCTCAGCCAAACAGAACGAGGTTGATAAAGACGCAGTGTTGGATCTAGACGAAGGGACGAACGCCAAGGCCAAAGCTTCGATGAACTTCCCGTCCACGCCAGCCCCCGTTAAGGGTAAATCCCACGCCCCCAGAGGCGCGGGATTTGCACCCCAGAGGCGCAAGGTTTTGTTTGAGATTTTTGAAGATTGTTCCTCTTCCCCCGAGTGGAAGCCCAGCGTCCCTCCCGTCAACGTCCTCAGGAGAACTCCGGTCCCGGCTGAAGAAGGTGTTCGACGACAGTGACGTGGAGGAGCCGGCAGAGGAGCTGCCCAAGGCTGACGTGCTGGGCACCGAGGGCGGGGAAACGGGGAACCCTACCGGCAAGCGTCAGGGCCGCGGAGAGCGAGCCAGGCGTACAACCGCCAAACCTCGCCCCCTGCAGCAGCAGCAGCTCAGCCCCGTGCAGAAGAAGAGCAGCGACCGGGGGAAAGGGCAACGAGGGGCCAGGCGAGCAGTCACCGAGCCGGAGAAGCGAGAGAGAGGAGCAAGGAAGGCCCTCCATCAGCCTGAAGGCCTCGAGCTCAGCAAGACAGCCCAACCTGGAGGTGAGGAGAGTCTGGGTGCAAGCCCTGAGGCGCAGTATTACTCTCAACTCTAAAGGGTCCGGGCACATGCCCCAAGCCGATGATGGGCAGTGTTGCTTTATAATAAGATTCCTGGCGTTTGATATAGCGCCTTATCACGTCTTCGAGACGTCTCATAGCGCTTGTACAGAATTTACTGTAAAGTGAATTGACTTTTTATTTGTTGGTGCAACGTGACAGCCAATTGCGCGCAGCAGTGTCCCACAAACCATCGTGGATTGAGTGACCCCATTTTTTTTGGAAGGGTTTATTACCCCGATCCGCCAATCGACTAACAACTGGGTTCCTACTTACTGTTGTGTGGAGTAAGGGAAACTTGCCCAATGTTTTGCTCTGTCCAGGAATCGAACCACTGAGCTACAGGGCTCCTTTATGTGGAGAAGAGGAGTCTTCTTGTCTTCTCTTTACTCTGGATGTTTGAGCTGTGTGCAGCGGCTGTGTTGAGACTGACCTGAGCGAAGGCGACCGTCTGTAACCGTTTTCCCTTTCTATCCTCCTTTCCCTTTCTCGTTCGGTGCAGTTGACGTACCGAACGACGTCAGTGAGTGTGAGCAGCTGAGACAGGACTCTTCCTCCTCGATGAACCCCGAGAGCCAGATCCCCGCTTCTCACAGGAGAGCAGACGGCTGTGGCTTGAGCCTGCCCCAGATCCAGGCCCCTGTGACCTCCACAGGTGAGTCTCCACCACGACAACTTGCATTTACATAGCGTCCCTCAAACAGGGCAGCGCTTCAAAACCCTCAGCAGTGGCAGAACCCGGCGCCGATCCAGGGGGTAGGGGGAGGTGACCGTAAGCGCGGTCGAAGAGGTGGTGGGATGTGGAGGAGGCCAGGGCAGTCAAGTGAAAGTAGTGGGTTGGGGAGTAAGTAGGTAGGGAGGTGCCAAGGTCTGAAGTGACTTAAAGACTAGTGTGAGGATCTTGACGAGGCTAGTACTCCTGCTCTGGGGGAAACCCAACTAGGCTCAGTCCAGAGACCGATAAGATGATGGGGCGAGGACTTTGTGAACCCTTATTCCTTTATTCTACTTCTTTCTCATCCCCTGCCCCCCATTCCACCCTTCTCTCTCTCTCTCTAACCTTTTCTCTCTGAATATTCTGAGTCTCACACTCCTTGACCCTTTTCTCGACAGATGTTGGTGACCTGGATGCTGTGTACAGCTGTTTGAGCCAGGCGTGTGACTGCATCAGCCACTGCCCGCCCAGCGCCCTGTACTCCACCATCTGCCAGCTGATGGCTCTGTGCCGGGGGCTACGGGACCCTTACACCACGGCCTATCTGCTCAGCGAGTCCGTGGCAATCACCGCCCGCCACCAAATGATCAGCAACATCCACAACAAGCTTCAGTAAGACCCGTTACTTAAGACCTGTAGCATGATGTTAGTCACCTCTCAGTCTCTGTCAGGAGGTTATCGGTTCAAGCTCCACGTCCAGACTTAACTGATAGTCCAGACCGACTCCAGTGTAGTACGATGGGGGGATTTGCTGTCTTGTCAGAGAGCTGCCTTCCTCGGGATAAGATGTTAAATTGAGATTGTGGGGTCCTGTAGTGTATTAAAGCAGCGAGTTACTTCGCTCACCTCGCAAACGAGAGGATCTGGGTTCAATTCCTGGGCGGGCAGGACCGGGAGAAACCCTGGGCAAGTTTCCTTACTCCCCAGCAAGCCTGTTCACCTAGCGGTAATCGGGAACCCGGTTGTTAAGTCGATTGTCGGATCACGTTCTGGGGGGAAATAATCTCTCGTATACATAAAAAAAATGGTCACTCAATCCATGACTGGTTTGTGGGACACTACTGTACACTTTTGGCCCACAACATACACAAGTCAATTCACTTTACAGTGTATTCTGTGAAACGCTTTGAGACGTATTAACGATGTGATAAAGCACCGTATCAAATGCAAGCATTATTAATCATTACATCACTCATACCTCTCTTTCCCCCCCTCTGCCTCTCTCTCTCTCTCTCTCTCTCTCTCAGGAGAGGTAAGAAGGAGCGAGCGCTGGGCGTGGTGGAGCGCCTGCAGGGACTGAACCTACATGAGAGCGGGGAGGATGGTCTCGCTCGCTATCTGGCCGAGCTGCACTCCCTGTTCCAGTTCAGCCCCGCGGAGCCGACACGCTGGCTGGAGGAGCAAGTCGCCAGCTTCAAGGAGCAACTGCAGAACATTCCAGAAGGTTAGGGATCCGATATCTGTATGATCACAAAGTAACTGATTTGGGGTGTGTGTGTGTGTATTGACTGAATTGTACTGATTGACTGTGTGTGTGTATATTGTATGTGTATATTGTGTGTGTGTGTGTGTGTGTGTGTGTGTGTATTGACTGTGTGGGTATTGCCTGACCCTGTTCTGTGTGTGTAGGTGTTACAGTCTGTATGCTGTCACTGGTCAGTGTCCAGCCGGGGGGGGCGGGGGACCTGCTGCTTCTGACACGGCTCGAGAGGAACCGGACTCCGGTCACCGTGTGGATCCCTTCAGCGGGCGGAACGGTGAGTGAGTGAGGGTGGGTGGGGCGGGGGTGGGTGGGTGTGTGGACTGTGAGCATCGGTTGACACGGCAAAACTCAACCACCTTCCTAATAACAGCTGTGAAAATCTTAGTTTTAAAGCCGGTGAATCTCCATGTAACATGTTTGTGCCTTAACTGGCCACTAGTTACACGGCCGGCGTGTGAGGGTAGTTACGTGTGCCTGGCGTGTACACGGTGTGTGTGCTGTGCGTTGCAGGGCTCGCTGCTTAGAGAATTCGACGCCATCCTGAAGGACCAGAAAGAGGTCAGTGACCTGACGGAGCTGAAGGCCTGGTGGGAGGGACGGACAGAGCTGGACCGCAGGATGAAGGTACAGTGACCGGTGCTGTGGTGGGGGGAGGGAGGGGAGAGGCTTGGTGGAGTCCTGTAGCTCATTGGTTAGATCACTCGCCCTCACGAGCAAGAGGACTGGATTTGATTCCCAGCGAAACGTTGGGCAAGTTTTCTTACTCCACACACACGCCTCTTGTTTACCAGCAGTGAGTAGGAACCCAGTTAAGTCGATTGCCGGATCGCTTTTCCGGGGCTAATCATCTCCCCAAAATTTTTACAACATAATAATAATGTAATCACTCAATCCACGACTGTTTGTGGGGACGCTGCTGTGCACAATTGGCTGCTGCGTTTCGCCCACAAAATATACAGTCACTACACTTTCCCGTATATCCTGCGAAACGCTTTATGAGACGTCTCGAAGACGTGGTAAGGCGCTGCGTCAAATACAGGGATTACAATTTTTGCTGTTATTGCGGACTGACTGCTCATGGCCTCGGCAGACCCTGGTGGAGCTGATGGAGACAGACGGGCTGGGCTGCTGGAAGGGGCTTCTCCTCCCCTCGAGCAGGGACCCTGGCGTGGGGCTGGAGGCTGCCCAGCTGGGGACCCTCCTGGAAGAATGTGGCTGCAGGAACGTGGATGTGGAGCTGCTGAAGGTGTGTGTCTGGGGCGGGGAGGGGACTAGCACAAGCCGGCGTGGCTGTGGGTAGGTG